AGAACCACTAAATCAATTGTTGATTTCAGCCTCACAGTCATAATATTTCAGGGGAAGTGAAAGGCTCTGGAGCTGTGTGTATAAATCAGGCAGATGCCTTCTTTCATTCTGTCCTGTCACTCCTGTTTCTCAGTGGTGCTCTCCAAGTTGATCACGCTTGACAGTGGTGTCACATCCTATTCCTTTACCTTCTCTCTCCAGCATCAGCATCACCAGGCTTCTACTGATCTGCATGGGATTCTGACAGCTTAGATTGACTGCATGATCCTCCCAGCAGCCACAGGAAACAATCCTTTGATGACATCAATGGCATATAAACATTGTCCTCAGCAGAAAATAGCTAAATCATATTTTGAGTGTACTTAATGAGTTCAAGGAAAGACTGGTTTGCACCTTTTTTTAACCAAAACCCAACAAAATGATGGTTTTCATACATGGTTGTGATTTGTCAGGGTGACTGGAAGTCCCCATTGAGAGGCCACACTGACCACAATGCTTCCCCACAGCTTTAACAGCTCCAGACCTCCAAATCCGACAGTATGATTCCTCGGCACTGGTTAATAAAAACAATATATCTGGGTAACAAATTACAGTGCCTGTTGATGCAGCAGGGGCCAGTGGGCTGTTAGGTCTTTCTGTATTTGGTGATGACTTCAAACTCTGAGGTTCCTCAGCACCTCACTGAAAAAGATCATGACGTAGCAGCAGATGGTCTGTTTAGGGGTTATTCCACTGCAATTTGCTGGGTGTTGTGATGATGCCATTTGTTGCCTGGTTACCTTTGGTAAATCTCCTCCATCTGACATCCTAGGCAATTTGCAGTATCTACTAACCTTATCATTCAGGGTGGGATCATAGAATCACACAACAGTTTAGGTTGTAAGGGACCCTAAAGATCATTTAGTCCCAACCTTCCTGACATGGGCAGAGACACCTCCCACTAGACCCGGTTGCTCAAAGCCTTGAACACTGCCAGGGATGGGGCATCCACAGCTTCTCTGGGCAGCCTGTTCCAGTGCCTCACCACCTCCACAGTAAAGAATTTATTCCTAATATATAATCTCAACTCTCGTTCAGTTTGAAGCCATTTTCCCTTGTCCTGTCACGACAGCTCAAGCCCCTTTCTGGCTTCCTTGTAGGCCTCCTTCGCATATTGGAATGTTGCTATGAGGTCTTCACACAACCTTCTCTTCTTCAGGTTGATCAACCCCCACTTTCTCAGCCTGTCTTCATAGGAGAAGTGCTCTAGTCCTCTTATCAACTTCATGGCCTCCTCTGGACTTGCTCCAACAGTTCCACGTACTTCTTATGTTGGGGACACCACAACTGTAAGCAGTATTCCAGGTGGGGTCTCAGAGCAGAGGATCTGGATCTGGAAGAACATGTAAGAATGGTTGAAATTTCCCTCTGATATCATCAGGACTTTTACTGCTCACTACATGTCAAAGGTGAGTTTTGAAAAAGGTATATATTGCAAATCAAAATTTCCACTGACTTCAGGAATCCTTCCTGAGTAAGTAGGAGAAACGGCTTTGTTGTTACAAGGATCTTATGGAGGATGCCGGGAAGCGGGATGATAAAGCACTGATGTTCTTTCAGTCACCAAATTCTTCCTGAGTAACTCATTTGGTGTGAGCTTTGGGTTAGCCCAGAACAGGATTCCTCACAACAGCCCAAAGCAGATCACTATAGAGAAATATCATAATACTTACTTGTTGAGTATTCTCCTTGTTCCCAGCAACTTGAAGCTCAAGGACTTCCCAAGCTCTAAGTGGCATAACCACTGATTGATTTCTCTTCCATGAGTCTAACCTTGAGTCTGTATAAATATTAAGTATCCATAACATCTTGGTATGAATAAAACTTAGTCCCTAAATATCTATGACTAATCAATCCTTTAAGCAGCTTCATTGACTTCTGAACTCCCGCAGCAGCACTTAATTTGACTATTAATTTAATTTACCAGCTTTCACTGCTAGTATTTTAACTCAAAGCAGTGCACATAATTTTCCCATCACTTGAATTCTTCATTAGGTTCAATGCATGACATGAAATACCAGTATGCAGGAGGCCATAAAGGAAGATCAGTTATATGGTGAGGCCTGAAAAAATTGGGTCAGAAGTGTTTAAAGATGAATCAAGGAAGGAATGGGTGCACTACAGAAAGCAACTGAGTGACTTTATTCAGTCCTGTTGTTCATGTTGAGATGAAAAGTTATCATATAGATATGAGAAGAATATAGATAAAAACTCACAGTAAAAGCCTTCTCTCCTCTTGACTTACAAAGGTTTAAACTCACAAATGTGTGATCACACTGATCGATATGAAATGTGGGTGATGCATACACACACACAGATTCGAGAATCCTTGGTGACATTAGTTACAGTCATGTTTTTAAGTGAAATATCAGTGCTTTCTGGTACTTTATATCAAATCTAAAAACCTCAGGGTTTGCCCATTCACGGTGGGTAATGCCATGAGCGTGCTGGATTTTCATAACCTTAAATCACAGGCTGACTTATGTATTCTGCTGTAGCAAGCTCAGCTTCTCTGTAGAAGCTAACATCTGGGCAAAACTTAGCAGAAATATCAGTTTCAATTAATATATTTTTTTTAGAACTCAACCCAAATTGTCACTGACAGAACTAGGCCTTAGGTGCTACGTGGGAATTAGCTTTCCTAAAAATTCAGCAACTGAACAGACCTGAGCAGATGACCCACAAGCCATCTGTGAAATACTCAGCTTGGTGAAGTAATTTGTTTAACTGTGACCTGAATAATGAAGTATACAGTGTTATTTGTCAATTAGTGCTGTACCACATAGCAAGCAAAGGTTATGCAAAACAAGAAGCTGCTTGTAAAGCAATAGAGATACCTCTTATGAGTGCTAATCACTAAAAACCCCATCTTTTCAAATCTTCTGATGAGCTGTATTACTAATGTCGGAAGGTGATGCCTGTCAGCCAAGAACAACATTAGAGACCATAATTGAATTTCAAGAGTTGTCAAGAGCAGGCTAATCAAATAGCTGCTACTAGAAGTGATATATGAAAGAAAGAAAAAAAGAAAGTTCTAGTCTGGTAGGATGCAAAGTATGTTGTATGGCTTCCCTATGGCATTTCTCTGGGCTACATTTGTCTGACATTCTTCTCTTGTATAATAATGATTCATTATATATAATTTATTCAAGGATTGTAACTCACCTCTAAGTGCTCACAAATATTACTGCAGCTAGATATTTGCATTGTAAAACAAATGCATAGCACCAGGGTTTATGAAGGATCCTTTTATATTAGTTCCCTGACAGGAATGATAGATTTTTGGAAGCAAAACATTGACCTTAAAATAATCTTAAAAATTTAGCACAGGAAGCAATTAACAGCTCTTCCTTCCCTCTGTTTAGGTAATTTGAAAATTTTAGGGAGGCCCCGGTGGCAAAGTATTCCTTGGCCATTTAGAATGGATACAACTGTAAGGCTGTTACATCAGTATTACCAGGAATGTTCCTACGATTATGAGGGTAATATAAAATACACACCCTCCCACTGCTCTGCAAAAGCATGAGCCATTTCTGAGTGGAGCTTTAGAGGTGGTGGAAGGCAGACAGAGGACATTGCTCTGAGTGAAACAGTGAAAGAAAAACAGTCCCAGCTGGAACAAAGGCTGTGCCTTGTGTCACTGCAGTGAGCAGTTTTAATGACAGTGTGTGGGATATTGGCATCCTTTACTGCCCCTGGTATACTGGTATGTGGATACGTAATAATTCTTCAAAAAACAGAGGAGAAATCCAGTGCAAGAGGACAATATTCATCCAGGGCACATCAGGTCGTGAGAAGCTGATACCACAGTGGTGCCCTGACCCCCTGTTGCTGCCACCCTCACTGGACAGAGTTGTTCAGTCTGGAAAAGAGGCTGAAAGGAATATACTTTTCTCTCTTTCTGTGGTGATGAGAATTAGAGGTAACAAGATTAGCTGCAGGAAGGAACAGTTACGTCAAACAGTAGCAAACCATTTCTAATAGGATGGCAAAGAACTGTAATGGCACACCCAGGGAGGCTATGACATCTCCAGTGCTGCTCTCTAGACAGGCAAACTTTTAAGGGCAGGTTAAAAAAATGTCTATGAGAGATAGTACCAGCATAATTACTGCCACTGCAGGAATAATTCGGTGCCCATGTTCAGGTATGTCTCCAGCCTAACCGTGCTCAGCCACCATGTCCTGCTCTGGCACCTACCTCTTCTTCCAGTTGTGGCCTCACATCAGAAACACATTATCCCAGCCAGTAAGACCTGCTACCAGCAGGACACAGGACAGATGTTCCCACTCAGGACAGGATAGTGGACAGACTGGTCTCCCAGGGTGCTGCCAGCTCTGTTCTTCATTGATTTCTCTAATGCACTTCAAGAAATCTTAATCCTTTTCCCTTGTTGATCCCCCACAGAGGCTGAAGATCTGCACTCAAGGTCACTGATCATTAATGGCCTGCAGTGTGGTGGTTTTAGCAGTGTTCAGGCTGTGTGATGGGGTGTAGGCCAAAAATACAGGAATGCAAGCAGTGTCCCCACATAAAATGGAGATGATGATTCCTCAGCCCCCAGTTAAATATACAGTGGCTGTTCATGACAGCAGGTACTGCAACAGGAAGGCTGCCCTGAATTAATTTATCCTGCCTGCTGCTCCCTGCCTGCTCTCTGGCAAGTCATTTATTTTCTTCCCACTGCTTCTGTTCCCCTTTTGCAGGCTAGGATAAATAAGATTCCTAATTGCACCAGGACACTGTGGGAACAAACAGGATCAGGTACTACCTTTGCCCATACATAGTTCTACTTTTAACTACTCTCAAAGGAAATGTGAGTGCAGCTACACTCTTGGTTTCATACCTATTTACACTGTAATACCATGTAACACTCCTCATGGGTTAAATGGAATCCATCCTTTAACTCTGATTTGTTGCTAATGTACAACTGAGAGAACAACAACAACACCTGTGGGTTACCAAAATGCTTTATTATAGTAAAACATAATAGACATAGACAAAAGCCAATGGTTACATTTTATCTGTCCCATCAAACCAAAATACCTTCATAATATTTTCCATTGGCTTAAAAAGGAAATACTAATAGAAATAATTTCATCATTAAAAATATATATAATTATTAATTCTATTAATTCTGCTCTGTATTAGAAAGGCAAATATTGGGATAGTGATATGGCTTAAACATATTAAAATTTTCCCTCTGGGAAGCTGGTCTTCACCTCTGGCTAGACCACATGTGGAGCAAGTTCAGGAATCTCTTTCTGCATGATGGCAGATATCAACCCACATTAGATGCAAATTCAATATGTTCAACCAGAGCAGCTGAGCCAGACAAGAAGAGGAGTAGTCTGTGATGCCTGTTCTACCATGATTTTCTTTTCCTGCATATTAGAAGTTCTTCTTTTTATTATTTTTCCTCTGGATAATCCCAAGTTTGTCCTCCCTCTTTTTATCCATTGCATAGTAAGGAATGGACTGCTCTTTTATCACAAAAACTCATTTTACCTTAGTAGAATCAAGCACCATGGCTGGTTCTTTAAGTTCTGGGTAAATTGAAGGAATAAGAGAGAAACAGTGACTCCAGAGAGCAATTCAGAGTTCTTCCATTAAGACACCTGCACTGAATCACTTCCTGGAGAAATCTCTGTCTCTCCACTAACTACAGTGTAAGCCCAGGAAGACTTGGCTGGAAAAATTTAGCCCTTGTGAATTTGGAGTTCACAGGAGTCTACAGCATTCAAACATCCCACACACTGCAAGCTCTGTATATGTCTGGAGCTGTGCTCTTACCCACCTTCAGTCATTTGCAGTTCAACCCAGGAGATAGAGATGCACAGTCTGGTGTTCACAGGCCTAAAGTTCTCTTACAAGTTGGCATTTGTGCAGCAACTAAGGCAGCAGGTAGTCAGGCTTAGCTGGGATTTCAGTGCTTCTCTGAAATACTGAGGAACTATTACCTATACTCAACAGTTCCTGTTATAAACTACTGAGATACCAGTCAGGCAAGAAAAGGCTGCTACAAAAATGCACTGGAGAAAAGAAAAATGGCCTTTCCAGTGAGCTGAAATACACTGTCTAAAAATTACAGGAACAGTATCCTATCCTGCTTCAGACCATTTGTTGGACATTATTCACAGCTGCCATATGTACAACTTTCTTACCATTTTCAATCAACCGGCCAAAACTGTAATATGTTGAAACTAAAACAGCAGTAGACAATCTGTAGTGCTACTTCCTTGTCCACATTCCCTGCAAACCCTTGAAAAACTAAGGCAACATTATATCACAGCTGCACTGTTTTGAAAACCTCATGTTGAGGTTCTTCTACTCAAACTTGCTGCTCTCTACGTCCTGGGACACAAATAAGCACTGCGACAGTAAAAACACCTGGTCAGCTTTTCCTTCTGTCACTAGAGCTCACCATGAGTTAGGGCCAAGAAGGTATCATTACATTTTAAAAACACCTATGTTCAAAAAAGACTGGTATCTTCGTTGTTCATATTTTCCTGGATATACTGGAGAATGTCCACTTCATTCATTGTCTGAATCCTGCTTTCATTTGGCTTTGCCAGTGAAGATGAATTGGTGCTCCTGGGGGCAACTGCTGGCTTCTGAGACAGTGGTGGTTTTGGTGGTACCTTGGGTTTTGGTTTAGAGGAAACTTCCAAGAGTTTCTCAAAATCATCTGCAACTCTGGAATGAAAAGAAAATATTACTAAGATCTTGGGAATTTTTGAATTGCTTTTTGTTTTGTAAGAAAATGCAATCTTTCAAAATATAACTTTCTGCAGGAAAGAATCTACTTTGATGAATTTCTCTTTCCACAGAACTTTCCATAAGAACTGTCTTTTATAATGTGGCTTCTCAGTTCATTGTACAAGTTAATTAATTTTACAGCATGTTTTCAAATGTCTAAATTAAAAGCAATTTGCAATTATCAAATGAAAAAGAACTTTATTTTAGTTTGGGAAACAAAATGTGACAGGATGATTTACTTCCCATACATTTTCAAACTAAAATTTTTCACATTCAGCTCTGATTCCTCTTCATTCCCATCACCCAAAACTGAGACTGTGCTCAATCATGAGAAACTGGAAACACTAATGGATTTAAAAATATCGTGTTCACATTTGCTTCCGGGAAACTGAAGAAGTTTTGCAATCCGTGACCATATACAACAACTCTTTTTTTGTGACAATTTCCCTCTATTTCCTAGTGAAATAACCCAGAGCACTTCAAACAGTTCAGGATATTTTCTACCTGCATTGTTTGACCTTATCAGAGGTGCAGCAGGCTGTGTGTGCCAAACTCTGTTCCCACATGAGCTGTTAAGGATTTTGAGAGAGCCCCTATAATAGACTGTCTTGTAACTCCAAGGGCTGTCTGCCTTTGAAAAGTGAATATGTGGAGGAAAAGAAAAGAAGGTTGCTCTCCAGCAGCTCCACTCACTGGAACAGGATAACACATAGGAGTCTAAGGAAGACACCTTTTAATTTCCCCTTCCACATGCCCCATAGGTAGGCAGTCCCTGGAGCATGAATGAGTCATTTCATGTCAGGTGTTTTTTGGTTCTTCCACTCTTTGCCTTTTGTAATTAGAATCATAGAATCATAGAATATCATGAGTTAGAAGAGATCCACAAGGACCACTGAGTCCAACTCCTGGCCCTGCACAGGACACCCCAATAGTCACACCATGTGCCTGAGAGCATTGTCCAAAACGCATCTTGAACTCTATGAGGCCTGGGGCTGTGACTACTGCCCTGGGGAGCCTGTTCCAGTGCTCAACCACCCTCTAGGGGAAGAACCTTTTCCTGATATCCAGTTAATATCTTCCTCACTACCAGGCAATGAGGTCATCTTAGGGGAGGTATTACCTATATCCCTGTGAAACCACTGGGATAACTTCTGTTGACTAAATGGGACACTGATTCCTCCCTTTCTCTCTTTATTTGCCAGTAGTCTTAGGAGAAATACTGTAAATGCCTCTGCCACATGGCAGAACAATTGTTAGGGCTTTCTGCAGACAACTGAAGCAAAGCTGAGCTTTTCCATAATTTGGGAAGCAACTGATGAGGGCAACTGTCCAGGACCATGAGGAACACGATCAACAGAAGAAGCAACCTCACAGAGACACTTTATCCTCCATCTCCAGTGAATATTGTTTGAATGTAAAAACCACAGGTACTTCGAGAGCTCCAGACCCCTCAGCTAAGGATCCCACTACTACTAAGACAAACTGCATGATTTCAAGGGTTTCTTTTTTGTGTTGACTCTCATTAAAAGCTGTGAGGAACTTACAACTGTTCTGCCCAGGCTGAGACAAACTACACTCACCATGAATTGGCCATAAAGTCAACATGGTTCAGCCCAAATTTTCTGCTGTACAGACATTCAGAACCTTTTAAGGAAAAGCCATTCCTGAAGTCAGACAGGTCTTTCTGTGACTCCCAAAAGGAATCTAAAAAGAACCAGTTTTAACCAAGGCTACCCTTTTAAAATTAATTGCCTGAACACTGATATCTAAAACTGGGAAATATCTAAACAGATCAACTGATGGACAGAGCAGTCCACTGCCCCAGAGCTCTGCACCTTGAACTCTACCTGTGATATTCCAGCAGGCAGCTCCTCAAATTTCATCCTCCAAATAACTCTAGAGATTATATTTTCCTTTATTTAGATAAGATTTCTGATGTCTTTTAGTTTTCATGATTCCCTGTGAGTGACACATCCCACTTAACTTACAAAACACACTCTATGTATTTCTGAATTTCTCATCTACGTAGAAGAAATTAACTTCATTTAAGACCAGGCCTTTCTGTTTGCTGAAAACTCTGATATCCCAGAGATATCACACCTGTGATCACATTGCCAAGACATGTTCTTGTTCTCTTTGGTCTGTAATAAACAAAACATGTTAGGGCTGGTATTTCTGAGTCTCACTAACTGATCTGATGCCTCCTTTCCTGGCACAAACAAATACTGAATGAATCAGCGTCCGTGTCATAAAGTTCCGGTCATAAATAACAGAAACCATAATAACCAGAGAACAACACACAATATACATACAGACCCTATGGAGGAAGCATGATTTTGAAGTAGGTGCACTGCCCAGAAGGAGCAGCAGTAAATCCAGCTCATTACCTGATCAGATGGTACAGATTCCTGAATTCTCTACTCCTGTGTGGCTCTACACTAATTTCTGTGCTAACCACAGCAACAAAACTACTCAGCAAGCCAAAAGTACCCTCAAAAGGTCCAGTTTAGTAGGTTGTTGGGTTTTTTAGGAAGTGGGGGGTTGGTACAGTGCTTTGAAGCCAAAGATTCTGCAGGGGATGATTTTTCAAAGTCTGGAATCTGTTCATGTAATTTCCTTTGTCCTGGATTTTTTCAAGACTTGGGTTAGACAGAAGTCTCTTACAGAGAATACAGATAATATGTGGTCTTTGTCTCAAAACCTGCTTTTCAGTGCTGCAGCGGCAGGCAAACTGTTTGATCCACTGCTGTTTGATCATGTGAGACACAACTGTCTTTGCAAAACTAAAGAGGTAAAATGCAAAATGCCTCAGGCAGAGATAGAAACAAGGACTACTATTTCTTGAGAAGCAAATGAGTTGTTACAGTGCATAACTACTACCATATTTAACTGCAGGCCAGGAGGAGGAAGAAAAAAATCAAGCAACTATTCTGAAACAAGATTAAAGGAAGAACCTTCCCATTCCCATCTTTTTATAGACCACCAGGCACACAATCCGTGTAATTAATCATTCTTTAATTAGTCTCTCTCATTTTCTGTAATGGAAAAGCAGTGCCACATTGTTTAAAATTCCTGCCATACTGTTGTGCTGATTCACAGACTCTATTGGTGCAAATTCTCTTTGTTTCCAGACACAGAAAGCAATCAAAACCCTTACTGAAGAAAGGCTGTCACAAAGCCCTACAAAATGATTGATGGCATGTGGTCTTCAGGAGAGCAAACGAGTTCTGACTTGGAGACAGACACAGTCGCCATCCAAACATCAACATTTTAGATGCCACTTCTCTGAACTCTGTCCTGTCTCTTTGGACAAAATCTTTGGGACAGGAATGACTATGTGCATGTACAGCATGATGGGAACAGTGTACTCTGCTTGCTGGGAATGCTCTAATGAGAAGAATCAGTAATGAAAGCGAGAGACAAAGACTCCCATAATTTCCTAAAGTATCAAAAAGGGCTCATGCTTGAAGCTCTGTTGTGCAACTAATAGCAGTTCCTGCAGAACAGACTTTTATCTTTCCCTATCTTATTATCTTTATTTTGTCTGGTGTTAATTACACGCACAAGACATACCTTGGTGAAGCCTTGGGGAGTGGTGTAATATCACATCTATAACTTTAGAAAACATTTGGGCCCAAAAATAGGCAGGAGGCTTCAAAGTATCTCTGAACCATCACTGCTACCATGGTCACTGGAGACAGTGTGGTATCTAGCAGGGCCCAGGGAAACACACAGGCTGGAGCTAACCACAGGAATGCCAAGCACTGGGGGCCATGTAGAAGGTATCTCCCTTTCTGCTTCAGCTTTCCCCTGCAATCCACTATAGGTAAATTCATAGTGGTATTTTAACCAGGACCAGGAAATATGTCTGGATACTAGAATGTGCGAATTTGTACTGCTGAAATGCTACAAGAACCACTGGCACAGCTTTAGTCTGGGACAGATCAGCCCTCCTCCAAAAAACTCTCCGGCACAACTCGGAGCTGGTGCAGGACAGGGACCGTTCCCAGGAGGCAGTTGTATACACTCACCTTGTTCTGAAGCTGGAGAGAGTCCCAACAGCATGGATGCAGACCCTGGTGCTGCCCGGCCAAGAGCCAGAGAACGGGCTCATTAGCACAGGTAAGTCCTACACACATATGCTCACAAGCCCTCTGAGGAAAACAGCCTGCTGGTTACATCACTCACCCAGGAAATGAGACAAGTCAATTCTTCCAGGCTGAAGAAGTTCAAACCTCTGTCTCCTGCTTCTCTAGAAAGTTCCCTAATCACCAGACAAAGGTGCAGCTGGGACATGGGAAAGCAGGCAGCTTTTGCCCCCTGAGCTGACAATGTCTGTCAAAAATGCAAACAGCCTGGGGCAAGATCCTTGAAATGTGGTGAGTCTCAAGTCCAGCAAAAACATTTCTTGCTACACTAGGAGAGGTCAGGACTTCAGGCCACCTCTCTGCATTATTCTGTACAACCTATACATGTTCCTAAGGGTAGGGCAAGGATTAATGTTTCCTGTCTGGCAAAAGCCTTTTTATTCTGTTAGTCAACGTTTATTTTATAGCTGTTCCAGTGTTTGTAAATAGCAACCCTAAACATCACATGAAGAATTAAATGAAGAAAGTAAATGCTTGAAAACCATCACAGAAGAATGTATTTGTTTATTGTAACCTAAATCAAAGACCTTTCCCCACAGTTAGGTCACAGCAAGCGAGAGACATTGCCCTGGAGTGGTCAGGAGCTTTCTGACTCAGTTACTGCAATCTCCTCTACGACCTGCCCATTGCCCAAACAACCCTCTGCCCAAAGGATCTATATTAAAACCCTCTGGAGTTTCTCAAAGCTCTTTTTCCAACTATGGTGCTGTTCTCATACCCCCAGAACGAGGCAAAAGTGCTGGAGATGGTGCCCCACATGACTTCTGGCTAGTCTGAAGATGTAAGTATTGTTCTCTGAATTCAGTATCTGCTAATGCCTGCTCAAAGATGATCACACAAACTTTTTCTGCCTCAGAGGTGGCAATGGCTCCTTGGCAAACCGGAAGCTGACAAACCTCTAGTCACACAATCACAGAATCTACTGAGTTGGAGGGGACCCACAAGGACCACCAGTCCAAATCTTCAGTCAACAGCCCACATGGAAATCAAGCCCATGACCTTGGCATTATTAACACTATGCTCTAATCAACAGAGATAACTTCAGGGTTTGTATGGACTGAATGGTTAGAAATGGGCAGTGTTAGGATGTGGTTTCACAAACAGCTTCAGCCTCTAACACTGCAATGCTCCTGAAAGGGTCATCAGTGTAATCCTAAGAAAGAACACACCAGGTCTGCCATCTCAGGGCAGCAAAACTGGGATCCTGCTGCTAACACGTTTTTAAGCACTGGAAAAAGACAAATGTGCTGACAGCTGCTTCCTTCCATCTCAGCTCCCTATTCATTATCAAAGGTGAAGCTAATTAAATCTCTCCTAAAAAGCTGCTCAGACAACTGCGATAATTACTTCAGGCTAGGATGTGCGATAATTTATGTAATTCTGTGGGCCCACAGAGCTGCTGCAACATTCACAGGATCAATTCTAGCATTGGTTTTCCAAAAAAACCTGATCCATCACACCAGACAGGCATGATTCAGATTAATGAGGTAGAAGAGCGCATGCCTGCAGGGCTATGATCTCACTGGCATAATGGAGACATGGTGGGAAGGCTCCTGTGACTGGAGTGTTGGACTGGAAGGATACAGGCTCTTTAAGAAGGACAGGCAGGGGATACAAGGAGGGACTGTCATCCCCTATGTCACTGACTACCTGGAGTGCATGGAGCTCAGCCTGGGGATGGATGAGGAGCCATCTAGGAACTTTTGGGGCAGGATTAAAGCAAGGGCAGGGACGGGTGACATGATAGTGGGAGTCTGCTACAGGCCACCTGGTCAGGAAGACTGAGGGGGTAAGGTCCTCCATAGACAGCATCAGACTCATGTTCACAAACCTTGGTCCTCAAAGAGGACTTCAACCACCCCAATATTTGTTGGAAGGACAACCAGCAGGCCATAAGCAATCTAGAAGGTTCCTGGAACGTGTTGAGGCCAAATTACTTCTCCAAGTGATAGAGAAGCCAACAAGGAGAGGTGCTATGCTGGACTTTATTCTCACCAACAAGGAGGGGCTGGTGGAGAATATGACGCTCAAGGGCAGCCTTGGTTGCAGTGACCATGAAATGGTGAAGTCTCTTAGGGCAGTGAAGAGGGTGCACAGCAAGCTCAGTACCCCAGATTTCAGGAAAGCAGTCTTTGGCTTCTTCAGGGACCTGCTTAGTAGAGTACCATGGGATAAAGCCCTGGAGGGAAGAGGGGCCCAAGAAAGCTGGTTAATATTCAAGGATAACCTTCTCCAAGCTCAGAGCAACACACTCCAACAAAGAGAAATCAGGCAAAACCATCTGGTTGCCTACCCCTCTCTTTCTCAAAGCACATCCTATGAAGGAAGAGTAAGACATGATCTGTTTTTCTGAAGGCAACGCAAGGGGACTTGACCTTGCTGGTTCCTACCACAGCAATTATCTCTTTTCCACAGGTTCTGGAAGGACATGAAGTATAGACAGACACCTTACTGATGTATTATGGCAGACCTAGTGGTAGGAAACAGTGCCTGCATCTACTAAGCCAGTGGTTAGGGTGAGGTAGCTCATTAAGATTTCCCATCACCATCACTTAATATCTGTCAGTAGGCCAAGAAATTAGTAACCAGTAAAAGGCTGGTCAATGGACAGGAAGAGGGAAGATATTTGTTTGAACGGACATGGGTATTTTTCCATAAAAAGAAACCCTCCATTACATTTACAGAGAAATTGGTTCTTCTCTATGCTTGTTAATGTAAAGTAGGTGATTCTATTTAAAACAGTAGTTCTCATTTCATATGAGCAGGTATTTAGAGAGAGCAGAGTCTTCAGTTTGCAATGAGAATATTTATCATATTCTCTTCTCCCTCATGTTGTGACAAGTACAGCCCACGTACATTTTGCAGACTCATTTGTCTCCCTAACAGTCTCTGCCTCAAGATTTACAGTCACTGCTGAGGATTCACTGCTGTGCTGACAGTGCTGTGGTGCTACTGCTGCTACAACCACCCAGGTACCATAAAGATCATGAAAGATTTGGCAGCTCCTGTGTCCTGCTCTGAACAATATCTTTTTCCCATCTCCCCTTTGGAAGAAGAAGGTTCTGCCTTCCTCTGCCTTGGGCAGTGCTCTCCTAACTCTGCCCATGATTCACAGTGAGTCAGACACTTCTCAGATCTACCACATGCACATGAACAGACTCTGTAGTACATGTGAATGTTCACTACATGAGTGAGGAGCTCCCACATCTGCATCATTCAGCTAATCCATTGGTGAACACGTCCAGGTTTCTGACCTGGACAGACCTGTTGGAGCATCATAGCTCAGGATGGTCTTGGATCTTAACAAAATGTGTCCAGGCAAACTTTCTGTGTGGTATAACAGAGTATGTCCAACAGACCCAGACATTTCTGTTTTCCTCTAGCAGCTCATACAGCTCGAGCCCACTGAAGGAATGGGTTGTCACAGCTCCTAATTTGATCTGAGGGCTGGGGAGACATTTCTTCAGTCCCCTTTGGGAGAGTACTTGTCAAGACCTTCAGGGCAAAGGCAAGACTTATTCTTAGGCTTCAAAATATGCTCAAACCCCCATGCTGGGGAGATTGCAGGGTTCAGCTCAAGTTGAACATTTCCTTTCACCACAAAGGGTCATTGCCTGGAAAAGAGACTGTGGCACTGCCCTGCAAGAATATGTAAACACCAGTCCAGTGGTAAGGGAATGTGGGAGATAATTCAAATGCTTCCCCTAAATTTATGAGACCTGACAGTTCTGCTGAGGCTGAACAGAAAAAAAATGCAATGTGCTCAACCACTTGAGAAAGTTTAGATGTGGGGTTTCAGGTGACTGCAAAGAATTGACATAGAGGGGAGGTGAAGTGTTGGTTAGGTGAAAAGAGCACTGCCACTCCTCCCGCCCCATTAACAACAGTTTCTCCATGAGCCCCAACTGCCTTGCATTAAGTCCACCAGCTCTCTATGATGTGCAGACAACACCATGAACTGGGGTTACTAGGGGAATTTCAGAGGGTGTTAGGCACCTGAACAGGTCAACAGATCCTTACCTATCTGCCTATACCTCTTGCACAGCCAGGAGTTGCCTCTGGATTCCCATAGCAACTTTCCCATTGGACCACTGCCATGATTTTCTGCTTCATTACGTGCATTCATTTCCAATTGGATCTTGATGACTTGTCAACTGTTGAAAGCACTGGGACAAATCAAGGATAAAGAAAACTACTGGAATTTAAAAGAAATGTAATCTTTTCCCATGGGTTTCCATACCCATCTGGGTGTGCTGCTGTCACTGATGACCCAAAATGATTTAAAACCATGGTCTATTGGTCTCAGAGCAGAGACCAGACTTCAGAGACCACAGAGGAAAAGAACATACATAATCCAAAACACATTAACATGACAGAAGGAAAGGCTCTCTCTAGAGGATGAAAATGCAAGGAGCGCATTAGAACAGCCACTTCTAGCTGTATGAACACTCTGGATCAAGTGCTGTGTGCTGAGATTGCTAAAGCAAACATGAAAATATAGCAAGCACATATGTGTCTGCTCCCAATATACCACTGCACCAAATCAGGTCATGTCCTGCCCCATCAGCTTCTATAAACATCAGGTGGGCTGTCAGAATGTAATGCAAGATGGCACCCAACCCAATTTAACCTTTGTTTAAAGTAAGCCAGGTATTGCTGTTAAGGCAGACAGCACTTCTGCATGCATAGAAAGCAATAGCTGCAAAATTACCTGCTTCAGGAGTGGTTGGAAACCACACACAGCTTCTCTCTCCTGGGCTTAGTACCTGCTGTGGAAGTAATACATCCTAACAGGAGCTGGCTGGCACGAATTAGCACTGGAAGCAGGCTGGCCTCATCATTCAGATGCCAGCCTAAGATCCAGAAGGCATGAATTTGACTCATTACTGCAGCACAGATTCCCTGGTGATGCTGGTCTCTCCAAGCATTCGTTCCTTGCTGGATCTCTTGAGGATTATCAGTGCAGGCAAACTAGTCTTGTGAGAGAGATGTCAGGGATAAAACACATTATGTGCTGTTCCAGTGCTACACTATCAAGGGGGAAGCAATACATTATTCCCTCCTATAATTCTGAGCTCCAGTCCTTTCCACTAGATTAAAAATTAAATGCAGGGTGATAAAGATTTTAATGAGAGTCCTTTACTGCTGTGGAGGTATGCATAGGATTCCTCCTGGAAACATGCACAGAGGTCTGTGAACCATCAGCAGAAAACCCTTCCTCCTGTGGCAAGAGCCCCTGATTTCACCTCCCTGAAGCTGAACTTTTCTGTCTCTGGGCTTTGTTCCTCACTTCTCAAAATGGAAGTCAGGTTCCCTGTGGATCATTTGCAGAAAGCAGAAGTGTCATGTTAGAAAACAAGAACTAGATAGCATGCCTGGGGCCTTCAAGTCATTTCCTTTGGAGTCAGAGAATAATACCTTGCACCTTACCTTTCTCAGAGAGTCTTCCTACTTTCCTTTTTAATGTGTTTGATTTCCAAACTCCATGACACACGTCTTACATTTCACTTGTCAGTACAAGTATTGATTCACAGTTTGCATTTGAAGTATTTAAGCTTTTCCCTCATTCACCCCACATGACAGATTTAAGATGAGTACCTCAGCAGTTCCTCAGTGTCCTCCTCGGGACCCCTGCTCAGCACATACTTGCTGTTCTCACAGGCATCTGGCAGCAGCAGTGAGTCACCCAGTCTCACCACCCCACCAAGGTCTGGATCTTCAAATAATTTCAGATCTAGAAAGGGGAACCAGAAAATGCTGTAGTTAGATCACACAATGTAACACGATGCTTGCACTAACATTAGCTAGTAAATGTGTCTACTGGGCTAAAAAAACAGATCATGTAGACAATTATGTTTTTAACAAAGACTTCCAATCCACAAAGTGCAGTGATACTCTGCACTCTCAGGACTTGGTAAATCTGCTTTTTCCTTGCACTCAGCAGTAGGTCACATTACTCTTGTTAGTGTGGCATGAGTGACTGTGGGACAGACAGCTCCTACACAGACCTTAATATCCCAGTTCAAAATGTTTACAGTAAACATCTATGGGACCTGTATAGGTCTTATTCTTTCTGAATGATTCTAAATGATTCTGCTCAGCTGAAAATTTACCTTAACATTCCCAAGTAATTATTTAGCTTGTATATTCTGTACCACCATAATTTAAAAGCTCTATTTTAGATAAAATAATCAGTGTATTTACAAATATAGAACAGATTTACTCTCTTTCATCTTCTTTCTGGGACCAACTGATGAGAAATCTTCTTCTGGACCAAAGAGTCCTTCATCTGGATCCACTTCCTCTTCAAAAAGGGTTAATTTGGGTTTCTCTTCCTTGGTTGGAGGAGCAGGTGCCTTTTTTGCTTTTTTAGTTCTAAAACAAAAGAGGAAAAGGAAGTCAGCTCCAATTCTTCATTTAACAAGGAAGATTTATGTTTAGAAAGTCTCTGCTGAAAATACATGGCAGGAGGCTACGAAAGGTCTATAGAAAGGTGCACAGACATCTCTTAGTCACTGGCAGGAATGGGATACTGAGCTGGAGGGACTGTTGTCTGATGTACTGTACATATGCCTATGTTGTGTATTCCTAAGAACTGACAAGGAGCCCAGTGGGAATGGGAAGAGCAGGGCTAACAATGCTGTACTGTGCAAACTGCCACTCAAACCCATTTATTTTAAGCAGTTATACTCCTCCCACACAGAAAGCTTAAAATAAGAAAGAAGGCCAGCAACACTGGCCAGCAACACTGTCCTAGATGGACAGAAAGGGATGGCTTGAAAAACAAAGTGCAGGTTGGTCCATTGCATGATCCTTTTGGACAGGATTTAAAAAATCTCTTTGGCTCCATTTCCCCACCAGTTCCTGCTGCTGTTTCTGATTGCTGCATACTTCCTTCATAAAGGTGTTAGACACTCCCCTCATCCCCTCAGGAGATGTACTGTGAGACTACACCACCTTTAAGCTTAAGCAAGCAGGAACTGGAAGAGACTTGGTGGACAGGCTGCTATTAGCAGAATTTACAAATGTCACCCATACTTTCTTGAACCAAAGACAGGATTAACTTCCTCTAAATTTAGTCCTCTAAAAATCTGACAGTGGGACAAAGTTAATTTTTAGGCTTCTTCTCTACTCAGTGGACAGAGACACACATCTCCATAGGGCAATGAATCCCACCTATGTTTAACACTGGATATCTGGATACAATAAATCTCTGAAGATCTCCTCCTCTCCCCACACTCTGGAGAAAGAAGCTAAAACCTAGTTTGGATAAAAGGCCTCATTTGCACATGGCTTAAACAAGGAGAGTTGAATGCCCTTCCAAGAGCTGAGTGAAAAGTTTGTGCTGCTTACTTCCACACCCAGGACTCATCTTCCACTGGCTGAAACTACAAGGCCACTCTCACAAGAAAGCAACTTGAGCTATGAGCAAACCCCAATCTGTTCCTAAGCCCTCACCTTCCTTATGCTCAAGGGTAAAAAAGAAAATTTAGAGAACGGGAAAAAACCTTTGGGTGAAAAGTCCAATTCAAACTAAGCTGAAAGAGAAGTATTCCTTAGGACAGCATGTCCTTCCTAAGTAATTGCCACATTTCAGAGACCCTCAGAACCTTACTCTCAGCAGTCTTGGCCTTGCAATTTCTCAGGTAGACCCTTTGAGGCCTCTTACAATAGAAGATCTGATCTTCTGCTTTGCGTAGAGCAGGTCAGGTTTCAGCCTAAAGCAAATCCAATTATCAGCACTTATCATGCCACAGTCATCAAAAACTAAAGAACAAGGTCAAAAGATTACACATACATTCCAATTACATTAAAGAATCTTGTAAAATCCTCTTCCGATTACAGCTGCACACAAAAGAGTGGAGACCAGTTACTTTCAGTTATTTTCAAAAGTTTATTATCAACAAGAACTCATGGATGTTACTACCTTGCTACCACCACTTTGTCTCAACAATGGCAAATGCAGCACTTTGGAGGCCCAAGAACAGGCCCCATGGAGAACTTAAACATGGCTTTATTTGGAAATATACCCTAGCTGATACAGTAAAGGTATCTGCAGTTGTCAGCAACTAGTTTGCTGTACTATTTATGACATAAACCTTCATTTTAAAGCAGAAGAAACTTCATTTTTTTTTTTATTTTGCATTCATATTCATTATGGATATGCCTTGAGCAACTTCTGAATTTGAGCTACTTTTGAAAGCTCAGCTCCAAGGAACTGCTTCAGACTGAAGCATTTGTAAAAGACCCTTCTTCCAAAATCTGTCAAAATCTAAAGGTATAATATGTACAAATCAGACAGCTTTCACTCAGGATTTCTACACGCACTCAAATTCTTTGCTTTATTAACTGTGGTAAGGAATCTATCACTCAAATGAATCTTAGTATTAAAGTAAAAGGTAAAAAATGAGAGCCATTATATTTAACCACAAAATCAGAAGAACAATAAGACTGAGTCTTTCAGAGCTGACAAACTGACTAAAAATAGAATTATTAGACAGAAATAAATCCAATCTACCGGGGAAGAAGCAACCTTTATTTGCATAATTCAAGCCTCATAAAGTAGCCTTTGAGAGGTGAATGACAAAATAAATGTGGATTTGCCAACCTACAGAATGCCAAAAGTCTTTGACAAGATCCCTTGTCCATTCAGAGGGTTACAACAGCTCCCTTGATGCATAAGAACCTGTTACGCCACAGATACTTATATCCACGAGCCAGTACATTTCCAAGCAACTCCACCCCAGTGAAGTTAAGAAGGAGTTTACTAGCACTCAGCTGAAGTATTTGCAGTAAAGTTTACCAGTGTGGTGGGAAATACCAAAGAAAGGGAACAGAACCATAAAGACTGTCATAAAGAACAGCATGTAAACCAAAAATAATTGAACTGAAAGGTCCTAGTAACAACCCTCTGTTTAGTCCAACCACCAAACCAGCCCACTGACATGGGCTCACTTTCTGTTTTGCCAGGAGACTCCACTGGGCAGTAATGGCACAGGGCCAAAACCCCAGGGCTTGACCTGCTACTGGTAGGAACATCAGGAAGTTGGTTTTGTGCCTTCAAGTTGTTTCCCCTCACTACCCTCCTAAGGAAGTCACAGCTGGACTGCCAAGTAATTCCAGCATATCCATACAGGGACTCTGTTGAGGTCAGGCTCTAACTGGGAAACAGGATTCCCACGGTTCTGTATTTAGCTGTGCCAGTCCAGACTGTGCACTGCTGAGCAGAGGTCAGTGGATGAGAATGGGTGTGTTAAGAAGTTTCAGAGCCTGTCTGAGTTCTGGTTTCAGAATCAGCTGCAGCTGGCTTGAGTGTGCATCTGCCTGCCCTCTCATTCCCCCCTCTACATATTCCTGCTACCTCCCCATAAGCAGGGACTTAGCTGGAGCTGAGCTGATTGTGAAGCCACACGCTGGTGGCCCTTCAGAGGAGAACCTGCAAGGACATTTAATTTGATGATCATGATGTGCCAGGGTGCAGTAAACTTGTGCAGGGATGCAGAGGCTTTTGGGATGACAGAAACAAAGTAACATTTGGTTTTCCAAAGTATTACTGTACTCAAGCCCTGCACTTCATTAGAACCTTCCTCATACATCACGCTCACAACCTTGGGATCTGACATTTTGAAACTACCAGCATCCAGCTGGTGGAAGATGACCCGTGTCATTGCTACTTTTTTGTTGCTGAAACAAGTGAACCTTTGGAACATCACTCTAGTGAATGATTAAAAATATCAACAAATACCAAACCAGCCCTAAAGAAGATGTATCCTTTATTCAGTGAAACTACTTACCCAGTTGAGCCAGTTGAAAGAACTGTGAGAATCACAGGAATAACACTGCTGTCTCCTGCTCTGACTCTTCCACTGGCTTCCTAACTGACATGGACCAAAACAGGATGGTCAAAAATCAAGAGTATATGAATCCAACTAGTCAGTCTGCTGGCACACCTGAAAGTCCAGCTGAGACTCCTGGCTCCCAAATGATTCTCAAATCACCCAAGAAAATGCCAACAAAACCCTGCATGCAAAGACACTTTCAAACCTAACCTGTTTTGTGAGCACAATTCTCTTGTTATTGTTTACCAAACACAATGTAGGTCACTCATTTGGCAGCCTCCAGGTCTCACTGGCACTGCAATCATGCAAATATGCTTTCTGGTCAGCTGCAGAAAACAGCAATGAGGATGACTAAGACACTCCAAAGTCAGAAGATTCTCAGAACTGTATGTGTGATGGCTGTATTATGAAACATTGAATCTCCAGATCTAACACGTGGTGACACGTGGCTTAAATCACAAAGTATTGTGCTCTCTACAGAGGAGTCCCTAACCTATGATCACTGCTAGGTTAAAACAGTGAGTGTTGTTATCAGAGTATGTGTAATCTCAGCACACTGACAAAAATTTACAGAATTTATTGTTCTGAAAATGTGACCATCTCTTTTTCGTAGAAATAAAATTATGCTCCAGGAAAGAAATGTTACAGTAATATATATATAAAAAAAAAAGACTTATTCAGAACATACATACTCCTATTTTAAGTATCCATGGGATTTTACATGGGAAGAGATCTCTAATATAAATGGACACCCCAACTCCTACAAATCTACAGAACAAAAGAACTACAGCTAAAATAGCAGCAGTACTAGCACATCTTATTGAAAATCATTTCTGAAAAACAAAGAACCTATACACTAGTTCCTGCAGAAAACAAAATGTCATCTGCTGCTTTCTTTTCATTCAACAGTGCTCATTTTCCAAAGCTGCTTGATAATAACAGACAGGACAAAAGGGGTCATTCTCATCCACTTTGGGCAAGGGATGCCCAATAGAAATTCTAAGCCCGTCAGCTCAGCACAGCCTGACTGCTGAGCATTAAGCAACCATGACAAGTGTTGGCCACAGGGATACTTTACCTCACACAGTAATCCTCTTCTTGTGGACATCACAGTAACATACAGTATTTTAAATGCCTCTGGCATATTCCAAAATAAGATAATGCATAATAGATGGGATAAATCTCCTATTAGAAATCATCTGGAAGAAAAGCATTCAGTTGCAGGCAAAGTTTCTCTGCTGCAGCCCCAAGATTAGGTCAGTCTTGGACTACTGTTCCAGCAGAGCAACAGATGGAAAGGAAGCCTGAAGGAACAGATTTTCAAGAGTTCAGGTCCCATCTAGGGACCTGCTTTTGCGGAGAGATTTTTCTGAAGGGCTCAGCACTGAAGAGTACCTCTCCTTCCTAAATGAAGCCAAGCTGGTTTTGTAATCTGTCCTTAAGCTTTCTGATTACATTAATTTTCAATTTAATTTGAAAACAGATGAGAAGACCACAGATGGACTTTTGTTTAGTACACAGCTCATTAGCAATAAT